GCCGTGTACACTGTCGTAATCGCTAATAGTTTTTTCACTCTAAATGGTACCCACAATATTTCAAAACTTTGCGCCTTTAAAATCTTGCGCCCGGAGGCAGATGCCCCCTCTGCCCCCCCCCCCTTTAATCCGGCCCTGGCCTACGCACAACATAGACTAAATACATTTATGAAGAATTTATTTTTATAATACTCTTGAGGGTATGGCACACGGATTTGTCAAAATAAAACAATTTTAAGATTGTTTAAATTTATAATTTTTTTTTCATTTTTGATAATCAAGCAATAGTAAAAAATGAAACGGTTATATCATACCATAAAAAATATTAACATTTTTTATTTTTGTAAAGATGATTTTACTCTATAATCAGTCAAAAATCTTAATAAATGATCTCAGACAAAAGTGTTTCGTGTTGCATATTAGTCTTAGAAAACAAATATTGTACTGACTTCCTCAAATATTAGGTCTGTTTTATTTTAGTGGTATGGAAAATAGTAGAGTAGACAATATAATAATAATGGGCAACAGTATCATTTTGTGTATCTATATCAAAAATTTGTCTCAATATCTATAATGTTGTAAATTATTACAATATAAGTAAAAAATATGTTATAGGGTTCCCAGGTATTTTATTAGTTTATTACCAATAAATATTCATGTTTTATTTTTAGTTGCCAGTATGACAGCCAACATTCGTAATCTTCAAGAACACTACAAATTATCTCCAAGAGATAAAAATTCTAGAGTTGCATTAAAAGAAATAATAGATAAGCGGAAAAAAAGACTGAAGTATTTACGAACTTGGGATTATAAGAAGTTTGAATGGTTATTGGAATGTTTGGATTTAAAGTATCATCCTCACCCGTAAGTAAATTACATAATAATTTTACAAATTATTTACATTTTTATAATTTATACTTCTATTCTAGACCTTATGAACGGGTAGAAAGAAAAAAATCATTACGTCGTCTAACATCACAATGGTGTGATGAAGTCAAATCAAAAAAATTGGCTGAATACCGTAATGAATTGGATAACCAAAAAGAAATGTTTTTGAAACAAAAATTGGAAACATTAGAATGGGCTAAAAAAGAAGAAATTGAATGTGGAGTAGAACCAACAATAACTGATGATGATATTGAAAGTGCCCGTAAACAATTAGAAGAATGGAAAACCCTAAAATCAATTCAAGAATAACCATATTATTGTAAATCAGAATATTTAAAAAAAGTTATCTCTTTAATGTTCAAAAAAAAAAAAAATTCTATAGTATTAAAATATTAACTAGTTTTTTATTTATGATTTAAAATCTTATTGCTTGGTATTGAACCAATTTTAGAAACTACTTCTTGCCATGTTTCTAAAGCAATTAAATTTGCTTTCTGCTGTCCTTCTTGTAGTACTTTACTCAAATATTCTGGTGAATCCATCAGTTTTAAAATCTCCTGACGAATAGGTGTAAATTTTTCAACTAATGCTTCTGCTACTATATGTTTATACCTGAAAAAAAATGTTATAATTAATAGTTATACATTTGTATTATATAGGTATAATTGTCAAAAATAAAAATAATATTGTTACTCAATATTATTTTTTTTTATAATTAATTKTTGTTAAAAAAAAGTTTATAATTATTATTTTGTTAGGTTACGTTATATAAAATGTTAATAATATAACAGTGGTTCTCAAATTTGCACTAAGGGCACCATGATCAAATTCTAAGAACACTGTAGTTTATGGCTCATAATAAATAATTTTAAAAGTATAGAGTTAAAGTTTGGAAACCGCTGGACTAGGAGATTAAAACTTATTTACCGTCCAGTGTCTAAGAGTGAATTTTCTTCACAAATTTCTTCTGGCAATAGTCCACTAACAAGTGAATGCATGGTTAAAAGCGTTGAAACACCTGGTCTATTATCAGGATCATATGTTATTTCAGATTTACAATCTGTAACAGATTTTTTCACTTTTTCTACGATGACATCTGGTTCATCCGTAATTTCTATTCTTCCACGAGGATCTGGATGAGACTTAGACATTTTTTTCATAGGGTCACGAAGATTTCTTATCCTCGAAGAGCAATTTTCTAAAGACAAAATTAAAAAATTATACAAGTCTGAATAAATATTTTGTTTTTCAATTATAAACATATATTTATTTACGTTGAATAAGAACTTCAGGTACAGGAAATGTGTCACCAAAGCGTTTGTTGAATGTTCGAGCTAAACCATGAGCCAATTGCAAGTGTTGAATTTGATCTTCACCAACTGGTACTTTAGTTGCTCTATGACAAATAAAATAAGCCAATGACGAAAACATTAGATAGAAAGTATAATTGATTACTTATATAAAAGTATGTCTGCAGCTTGTAAAACTGGATATAAGTACAAACCAAGAGGAACATCTTTCAAAGTTGAAGATTTTTCTTTAAATTGAGGTAACTGGCCCAATCTAGGCATTGTAGTTAAACATCCAAGAACCCAACTTAATTGGGTATGTCCAGGTACCTTAGATTAAAGAGAATTTAGAATTGAGTAATAATGTATAGTGTTTTATAACTCTAAAATAATAACTTTTCAATAATAATGGACTAATTTTTTTAAAGCTTTTACACAGGGAGTAATAAATTTAAATATTGTAGTATTATATCAAATAAATAATTTATTTAATCATAATTATACAATTTTAATTACCTGAGATTGCAGAAACAAAGTGCTTTTAACAGGATCAATTCCACATGCAATTAGACTAGCTGTCATGAGGAAGACATTTTTTTCTAATGCTTTTGTATTCTAAAAAAATAGAAAAAACCTCAACAAAAGTCATAGTTTATATTAGATATTATTCAATATTAAACTAACATATGGCAAAGTAATGGAGTGCATGTCAACAATGCTGAATATGACTTCTCTATTTTCATTTTGTAGTTGAACCCACTTGGATACAGCACCAAAGTAATTACCTAAATGCAAGGTTCCTGTTGGCTGAATACCAGAAAATACTCTCTCTTTCCATTTAACCTAAAAAGTTGTTTTAATAAAAATTATTGAATCAATAATTAAACATGTAAATTAGGACTAAAATGAAGCAGCATAATCACTTACATTTGAATGGCAAGAACGTACGAGTGTATGACAAGAAAGAGAAATCTTCTTAAAAATCATGTTTAAATATTTATTTAAGGAATACGTGCAATAAAGATTATATACTTCAACCAAATACTTAAATCAATACTAAACTTCCTAATAATTGTCAATTAATTTAACATAATTATGAATACAATACAAATTTGAAAAATCATAAAAAGACAAGATCCAAGTTATAACTGCTAACAAGTATTTATAAGTATAAAATGAGCATTAAGAAATACAAGTTATAATTATTAACTAATTACTATAATAATCAAGACTGGAGACATTAAACCCCTTAAGGTCATATTATTATTTATAATTAAATATTAAGATTTAAACCGTATAATAATAGATCAATACTCAAAATTCAAACACTGACTAACACTTAACAGGCACTAGTCACCTGTCCTGTCCTCAATCAGTTATCTGATATAAAAGATAACAAGTAATCTAATCACGATAGTTATGAATTTATGATACCATACTAGGCGTATACAGTGCATGCATAGATGTTTTTGGTTTATGTTGGTGTGTCTGTTTTTAAAATACCTGCTTGCATCCAATTTTTATCATCAAACAACAATTTTTTTTTCATATTTTAAGTTTCATTCTTCATTTTAATAACAATTGTTTTGGAGGGTTCATTTGAGTCACACCGCCGCCGTGTTTGTTTATAATTATAATATATTATTAGTATAATACCATCAGTTTGTAACGTGTGTGGTTTGTCTACTGTCTTGTTCTATATCATAACGTGAAATATTGACATTTTTCAAACACGCATTGTATTAAATCAACTTTCCAGGCATCCGTGTTTGGTAAGGCTTTTACCTGTTAATGAACATTGATTTCTAACCAATTCCATATTTACGATGTCTGTTGAAAAAGACATAATTAAAATACAAAACAAGCTACAAAGCATGTCCGATGAAAATGCTGACCAAACCCAAGCACTCGATTTATTGAAAGCTCTTAAAGACCTCCCGATCACATTAGACATACTTACGAAGACTCGTGTGGGAATGACCGTCAATTCATTCCGAAAAAGCTGTAAAGATGAAGAAGTAATTACATTTTCGAAAGCATTGATTAAAAATTGGAAAAAATTATTGAGTGGAGACAAGTCAGTACCGCAAGAGCCGAAAAAAGATAAAAAAGAGCGTAAAAAGTCGGAGGAAAAAGAACAAAAAATAGATGCAAAGAAAGATACACCAAAACCAGTCGTATTTCCAACACCATCAACAACAGATGCAATTCGTCTGAAATGTCGAGATTTACTAATCACTGCATTGAAAACTGAAGATGAACTTGGTGGTTGTGCGTCGATTGAAGAACTTGCTGATGAACTTGAAGATGCTATTTACTCAGAGTTTAAAAACACTGATGCTCGCTACAAAAACAGAGTAAGAAGTAGATACTCAAATCTAAAAGATGCTAAAAACCCACAACTAAGAAGCAATTTCATCGCTGGCGCTATTACTCCTGCTCAATTGGCTAAGATGACTGCTGAAGAGATGGCTAGTAATGAGATGAAAACATTGAGAAATAAACTCATTAAAGAATCCATAGATGATGCTCAATTGGCTACTGTACAGGGAACTACAACTGATTTATTGAAATGTGGTAAATGTAAAAAACGAAATTGTACATACAACCAAATCCAGACAAGAAGTGCTGATGAACCAATGACAACCTTTGTTATGTGCAATGAATGTGGTAACAGATGGAAATTTTGTTAGATTAATAATATTCAATTTAGGTCTTGATGGAGCACCTGAACATATGTATATTAATTGTATTTTTCTTCATTTTTTATTTTAAAAAAAATCGAAGTTGATAAGCCTACAAATTCATTATTCACTAATAGAACTTTTTTAGCATTTAAAGAAAACTCATTTGTGAGATCGGTTTTATGTACCTATAACTTATATTTAAAATATCAATAAATTTATATTATTGAGTGTGACTTAAAGCTTTTATATTTTTGTAACTCTTGAATAGAATAACCACACATATTTTTAATACAAATTAGTTTAGTCTATAAAAAGGTCTTACATTTTCTTTGCGTAATTAGTGCCAATTCATTACAATCTTCAATAAATTAACAACTATGAATAAAAATTTTTTTAATGTAATGTACATCTGATTATGCATCAAATTGATGATTTAAATATAAATATACATGTTATTGTATGCTAATAATTATGAACTATGAAAATAATTTATATATTATAATAATTTATTAATTAATCAATTTCTTTAAGTTGTAAGATAGTTTGTACTTGGCATACTACATTAAAAATTCAGTAATAATTTTTTTTCGTTAAGTATTGAAAATTATTAAATAACTTAAATTATTCAGTAACTTCATAGTATTGTTAACACAATACATTATAAATATTTACTAATAACGATTAAAGAAAAAAATTATTATTCCATTGGTTAGTAATTTACTTTGGTAATAAAATAATATTTTACAGTTCACACATATTAATTCTTCTAGAGGATCTCAGATATTTTAATTCGCTTATTATGAATCAGTCTTGTATCACACATGAATACCTATATATAAACTAAATAGAATTATTCAAAATTACAGACTAATATTATTTTAATTCGCTTATTATGAATCAGTCTTGTATCACACATGAATACCTATATATAAACTAAATAGAATTATTCAAAATTGTTTATAAAAATTATACAGAAAATGTATTTATGCACATTTAAAAGTATGTTTAATATCTAAATACACAAAATATAAAATAATATTAGTCTGTTACTCATAAAAGTAAAATATTGATTTATTAATCTGTGTGGTACTAATACCACAACATAACCTACTGTGTATCACAGTTGAAAAAAACTGATCTACATTACAATCATTAAAAAAATATTTTATTTCATATAAATATATAATAATGTTGATAAATTCACATTTGTTAAATAGGTAAAATATAGAACATCATACTAGCTTGATAAAATATAACAATTAACACACAATAATTAATGGAATATAGTATAAGAATAGATTAATTTATATATAAGAAAAGTTATCACAATTTAGCTGACACTTTAAGTTCTTCAACACCAATAGCGCCCCTATGTCTCCATACTCTATAACGGGTAAGATCTTTACGAGTTACAACACCAATTACCTAAAATAATATGAATATAAAAAATCATCATTAATTGCATTATATTATTAAGTAATTAATTGAGTAATATATACCTCATTTGAATCATTAACGACAACAATATGTCTAAGGCCCATTGCTCTAAAAAGTCGAAAAATCCTTGGCAATGATGCCATCTAGGTGAATAAATTGTTAAAAAATTTAGTTAATATGCAATAAAAATAAACATTTAATTAAATGAATAATAAAGCTGTGTTTTCTTACATGTTGTACAACATATGGAGATGGATTCATAAATCTTAATAGATCAACTGTATATTGCCGTTCACTATCCAAGACTTCAATATTCTAAACAAAAATGTAGTACTTTCTGTGAATTTGTGATTTTATTCTGTATAAAAAATTATTCACAAGAATGATTGCAAAGTACTTAACACCACATTGACTACCTTGCGGCCGCCGACGTCCGAATAAAAATAATTAGGTATTGATAATTTTTAGACTGCCAGCTGCCGCACCATATCATTGGTAGGAGGCCATACAGCCGCGGGCTGCCGTAAATTAATTTGGATTTATATTATTAACTTTTTTGTGGCGCTAAAATAATGATTTTGAAAATACGCTGTGGCGTAGTGGGAATAATTGCAATTTTTTTGATGTAATAAACATAATTTTACTATTTTTTTTTTGTATTTTTAATTTTTTTCAATTTCAATAGTATATATATATACAAATACAAATTTATAATGACACTGAAAAATTTCCTTGGCGTACCCATGATAAATATTCTTGRGGACGCAAGGCAGTCAATGTGTTAAGAAATGTTTGGTTATTGTATTCTTGTTGCCAATTAGAGCCTGTAGAAATCTCTTTTCTGTTATTGAATTATTTACTATTCATTTTGACAAATCCAGGTGAATTGCTTATGTAATATTTAATTGAAACAATTAAAAGTAACTAACTCAAAACATTTTATTTAGCATATTTTATTGTGTTCAGCTAAAGAGGGGAAAAAACATACTTGGAAACTCTAAAGGTCTATGTTACTATGTTAGAATTCTACATGATACCCATATGAATTCAGAATTTCTATGACATCATAAAAAAAAAGGTAATAAGTATATATATTATATTCATATAATAAATTACTTTGTTCATGTCTCCTTCATTCAATATAAATTTATACCAACATTTTCTACATTTATAGTTCACTTTTTTACAGAATAAAGACCGATACTATTATTGCAAAAAAATTAACTATGGATTCTTATTAAATCAAGTGTTTTAAAATATAACTTTTAACATTCATAATGATAATACATAAAAATATAAATATGTATATAAATATTAGGTTTCAAAAGGTAAGATGTTTTCGATCAAAGTGGTGAAAGGTGTAAATTAAAAAAAGTAATAAAACAGTGGGAAAATAAGAATAATGATATATACTATAATTTAAATATATATACAATTTTACTTACATCTATATTTGAATATCTCGGATAATCTTTTCGGAAAGTAGTCAAAGAAACATTATCCCAAGCAGAAGGAATCTCGTTAAATACTTTGTTTTGTAATAGTACTATAAGTTGAGATCGAAGAATCAATCCACGTAAGCGACCATTAGGTTTATTGTTACCTCCTTCCTAAAAACAAAATACATTATTTTTTAAACTACGGTTGAATTTTTATAGTTAATTTTTAATTTACCGTATCAGCGCTAAAAACATCATCAACTACTGGAAATCCATTATACGTATACTTTTTTAAAGTGTCCACAATTTTTCCAACTGATTCTTTAGATTTAAAAACAGTGACAGGATAAGACATGACCTCACTAGCATAAATATTAGATGATAGTGGTGGAGGATCCCAAGCCATCAACGGTATTCCACTCAATTGTATGTGAATGTCATAAATACTCTTAAAAATAATAAAAAAATTTACATAAAAGAAAATAATAATATAACCATAAATACCTTATTCAATAAATATAAATATTTTAAATTAAATAATAATATTGGTTTACATGGGTAACCTAATATTTATTTATTTAGGTACATAGGTATAAATAATAATAAAATATTTGTTTATTTAAATACTAATATGTCTAACCTCTGTAAAATAGTCACCAATCCATTTTGCTGTTAGAAGACAAATCATAAGTGGTAAACCAAAAGTTATGTCACCAGTTGCTTCAATTAATATAACTGTAAGACTAAT